ACTGCGTTTAATGGGTTAAGGGCGGTTTCCGGTGATGGCGGGGCGGAGGAAGGCGGCGGGTATGGCCGGCTTGTTGAAGCTCGATCGAATTTTGATGAGTGAAAAGAGTATGGATTTTTGCGTTTTATACTCATGTAAAACTCATTTTCTATCATCAAATTTAGTTATTAAATTGAATGAGTTGCAAAACTTTTCTCTATATATATTTTAGCCTGGCTTGATGATTTATATAATTTGTTAGGAATTTAATCTTCTTTCATATTTTATTTCCTATAGTTTTCATTGCTTTTTTTTTTTTTTTTTAGAAAATTATTATATTTGAGTTAATTTGTGAGGGGATAGCAATAGTACTTTAGGGTTTTTAGAAAAAAATATAAGATATCATGTCCTAATAGTAAAAAAGACGTCCATATTGACCGTATGCGACTTTGCATGTCTTATATGATTTGAATTTTGATGGACTAATTATTAAAATGTTACGAGTAAGTTACTCGTACATAGCTAAACTAGTACTTGAAAAAAATAAAATATTATAAGTTATATGTATGGATATTATATATATTTAAAATTTAAGTTTGTAATTAATAAGCATATAACATTTTTCAAATTTGATCATTATTAAAAATAAAGAAGTATAAAATATTTTACTATATATATGTATCGTTATATAGATTGCAAAAAAAAATTAATTAATAATGTAAATTTTATATTTTCAAGGTATCATGGTAAATAAGTTGATTGAAAAAAAATATTAAAATTATTATTATTCTAGAAATTGTTTATGCGATGTTAAGAGATTTTCTATGCCATTATAATTAATCAAATATTAAAAAAATCAAGATAAAAACAAAAACATAATAGTATTAATTTGGCAAAACTGCGTTTTATGTCCTGTAACTAAGGGTGTGTGGCAAATGTGGACAACTCTTTTTGATTTGCAGAAGTCCCTGAAACTTGTTAAAACCCGAAATCCGTGTCTAATTTGGGCACAAATTTTGAATTTTAACAAGTTACTGTTCTGTTTTGCTACACGAAAAATCAGTCAAATCCGGTAACTTTTAGGTAAATTGGGCACGAATTTTGAGTTTTTAAAAGTTTTGGGGCACTTTTGCCAACCCAAAAAGAAGTTGTCCTCAGTTGCTACATACGCATACTTACAGGGCAGAAAATGCAATTTTGCCTATTAATTTTAAATATATAGAACAAAAAAATTGTATTGAGATTTTTATAAGTATATATAAAGATATTTTTTTCTTTATGATATTTGTATTTTCATTTATTCATGAATTGGGAAATAAACCAAGTGGATATTACATTTAATATCTTATAATCGTGCATACTTATGTTATGAAATATTATATTTTTATTTATACTGGCTGTAGAGTATAACATTTCATTTAAGATGTATGTTGTATGGTGTTTCATGTAGATAATAATGGTAATAAATACATAATTATTTCAAATGTGACAATCTTGATTCTAATTCATCCAAAAAGGTCCATATAACTAAATATGTATGTTTCTACACTTTAGGCTCCCTCAAATTAGGCAAAGGATTCATGACACAT